TAGTATAACAGTATTTACATAGTATTTACATTGTATTAGATGTCAAAAGTAATCTAGAGATGGTTTAAAATATATGGGAGTTTATGCTTAAGTTATGTGCAAATATTACATCATTTTTTAGAGACTTGCACATCTGCAAATTTTGGTATCTGCAGGGTGCAGAAGGTATGTAGAGGGTGTCCTAGGATTACTATATATATTTCTGTATGAGATTATTACAGGTATCATTTAACTTGGTCCAATATTCTATTTCCTGCAAACTGGAAGTTAGTCCTAACAACTTGATTAGATTTAAGTTCACTTTTTTTTTTTTTTTACCCCTAAAGCAAGAAATCAGTACTTCATAAGTAATCTGTTTATTATAGTATTACATTGCAGGTACATAATATCTAAATTGTCAATATTTTATCCATTTTTTTTGCTTTTATTTTATTGGTTATGTGAAATGATAATTTTGGCATTCCGATTCTTCCTAATTTATTTTCTAGAGTTTGTATGTGAAGAAGTTTCCTTTATCAGTGAGGTTAATTTGGTTATTCTGAAAAATAGCATTTTCAGGAAAAGGGAGCATAAAGCCTTAGTTTATTTTTGGAGAGGATACCTCCAGTGTTGGGGATGGAACCCAGGAGTGTTCACTGAATTATATCCTCCCACTACCCCTCCTTTTTTTAAAGTTTGAGAAAGGGTATTATTAATACTATTATTATTATTATCTTCATACATATACTTTGGATAATAATGATCATCACATTCCACCATCATTTATAACCCCATAACTCCTCACTTCCCCTCCAATCCCTCTCCCCTATCTAGAGTTCGTCTATTCCTCCCATGTTCCCTCTCCCTATCCCATTATGGATCAGCCTCCTAATATCAAAGAAAACATTTGGCATTTGTTTTTTTGGGATTGGCTAACTTCACTTAGCGTTATCTTCTCTAACTCCATCCATTTACCTGCAAATGCCATGATTTTATTCTCTTTTTATTGCTGAGTAATATTCCATTGTGTAATATATGCCACATGTTTTTTTTCCATTCATCTATTGAAGGCATCTAGATTGGTTCCACAGTTTAGCTGTTGTGAATTGTGCTACTGTAAATATTGATGTGGCTGTGTCCTTGTAGTATGCTGTTTTTTAGGTCCTTTGGGTATAGACCGAGGAGAGGGATAGCTGAGTCAAATGGTGGTTCCATTCCTAATTTTCCAAGAAATCTCCATACTGCTTTCCATATTGGCTGCACCAATTTGTAGTCCCACCAACAATGTATGAGTGTACTTTTTTCTCCAATCCTCGCCAACACTTACTGTTGTTTATCTTCATAATATCTGCCATTCTGACTGGAGTGAGATGAAATCTTAGATTAGTTTTGATTTGCATTTCTCTAATTGCTAGTGATGATGAACATTTTTTATATATCCTCTTCTGAGAAGTGTCTTTTCAGGTCCTTGGCCCATTTATTGATTGGGTTATTTGGGTTTTTTTGGTGCTTAGCTTTTTGAGTTCTTTATATACCCTAGAGGTTAGTGCTCTATCTGATGTGTGAGGGGTAAAAATTTGCTTCCAAAAGTGTAGGCTTTTGGGCTGGGGATGTGGCTCAAGTGGTAGCGCGCTCGCATGGTATGCGTGCACCCCGGGTTCGATCCTCAGCACCACATACAAACAAAACAAAACAAAGATGTTGTGTCTGCCGATAACTAAAAAATAAAATATTAAAAAAAAAATTGACAAAACAAAAGTGTAGGCTTTCTATTCATCTCACAGATTGTTTCTTTTGCTAAGAAGAAACTTTTTAGTTTGAGTCCATCCCATTTATTGATTCTGGATTTTAATTCTTGGGCCACAGGAGTCTTATTAAGGAAGTTGGGGCCTAATCCCACATGATGGAGATTAGGGCCTACTTTTTCTTCTGTTAGAAGCAGTGTCTCTGGTTTTATTCCTAAGTCCTTGATCCGTTTTGAGTGGTTTATATAGGGGTTTATAGGGGTTTAATTTCATTTGTTGCTTATGGATTTCCAGTTTTTCCAGCACCATTTGTTGAAGAGGCTATCTTTTCTCCAATGCATGTTTTTAGCATCTTTGTCTAATATAAGATAATTGATCTATATAATGAAAATACAGACCCCTAAAGAAAAAAGTCAAAGAAGACCTTAGATGATGATAAGGTCTACCTTGCTCTTAGATAGGCAGAATTAATATTATCAAAATGACCATACTTCCAAAAGCACTATACAGATTTAATGCAATTTCTATCAAAATCCCAATGGCATTCCTTATAGAAATAGAAAAGGCAGTATGAAATTCATCTGGAAAAATCAGAGATCCAGAATAGCTAAAGCAATCCGTAGCAGGAAGAGTGAAGCAGGTGGCATCACTATACCAGACCTTAAACTATACTACTGAGCAATAGTAACAAAAACATCATGAAATTGGCACCAAAATAGACTAGTGGACCAATGGTTCAGAATAGAGGACACAGAGACTAACCCACAAAATTACAATTATATTATTTTATTTATTATTTATTTTTTAGTTGTAGTTGGATATAATACCTTTAATTAATTTATTTATTTTTATGTGGTGCTGAGGATTGAACCCAGGACCTTGCCCGTGATAGGCGATTGCTCTACCACTGAGCCACAACTCCAGCCCCACGACAGGGTATTATTAATGTTGCCCAGGCAGGCCTACAATTTACCAGGTATTTGGGATTGGGATAACAGGTATATGCCACCATGTCTGGTTCTTGTTTTGTTTTATTCCAGATTTTTAGAGTACAGAATTAGTGCTCTACAGTAATGCCCTTTGAGAATTTATTTTAGGTATTCTTGTATACTTAGAGTTTTTATATATTTAATGTGATTCATTTGGGTGTATTATACTGCCATGGCCAGCTGCCCTGCCATGACTGTTAATTCAGAAATCAGTGAGAGGTTATGGGGGATTGAGAAAGACAAACACATGTAGAGAGAAAGCTGGAGGGACACTGTCCTTTGATGGAGGAACAGTGACCCAGACCTAGCTTATTAGCACATTTTTATAGCTTTTAATCATCAAAAGGTTCTTTGTGGGAAAGTTTCTGCAAAGGAGGCAGAGCAAAGGAGGCAGCACTGGAGAGACATTAGGGTTATCTTATTATGCTCAGAATTCTCTATCCCTGGGAGCTGGTGTCTGAACTCAAGGTCCAGACTGATATAACTCTGTGACCTTACTGGGTGTCACCATAGCAACTGGGAGATCTTGATCTGCACATTTGCACAGGAAGTTCCCAATACAAATGCAGCTATGAGGCAGTCAGAGATCATGATTCAAGTCACTGCTCTCCACATTATACCTTCATGTTGACTTGTGGACACTCAATATGATCCTTTTAGTCTTTGATATAAGTTTTCATGTTTCCTGGCTTAAAATATCCTAGAATAATCTTATATATGTGCTTGACCCTCGCCCCAGTTTAGCCTCTACTCATAGTTCCTTTCAATTGGGAATGGTGGTATGAAATGGCTTCTTGCTTTTTCAATTGATAGCTCGAAATGACTGTTTCTAAAAAAAGAAAAGAAAAACTAAATACATACTGATATTTTAGGTTTTTACTTAACTACTTTTCTTTTATACTTGTATTTCCCTTCTTTTAGGTTGAAAATCTTTTTGAGTTTTTTTTTTTTTTTTTTTTTACCCCAGTATTAGGGATTAAACCTAGGCCTTGGCATTGTAAGGCCTATATATTGCTTAGAATTATAAAAGAAAAACAGAAAAGCTAATCCAAAAACTAATAAATGACTAACTAAAGAGGGAGGAAGAAAACAGAATAGAGGGTTGGTATGACTTCTCTAAAATAATCCTTGTTATTTATTGTTCATTTTGGAATTTATGTAAAGTTTTTAATATTGAATATTCCAAAGCAGAATTAGACCAGGCACAGTGGCTCAAGCCTATAATCCCATCTACTGCAGAGGTTGAAGTGAGAGAAACATGTCTCAATATTAAAAAATAATAAGGGCTGGGAGCTACCACTGAGCTCTACCCTGGAACTTATATTCATGGCTCCAACATCTTGATTCTTTTTTTGTTTGGTTGGTTTTAAATATTTTTTTAATTGTTGGACACAATACCTTTATTTTATTTATTTTTATGTGGTGCTGAGGATTGAACCCAGTGTCTCGCATGTACTAGCCAAGCAGTCTCCTGCTGAGCCACAACCCCAGTCCCTTAAAGACTATTGAATTAAATTTGATTTCTTTTTCCTTAAAATATTTTTCTTTGTAAATAGTCAAAAAAAAAAAAAAAAAGGCATTCTGAATTCATGTAGTCATGTCACCTACTTCATGCACAGTTTGATTTTGTTTATAAACTGCCTTATTTTAATTTTTCCCCTCAGTACTGGGAATAGAGTCCAGGGTATCTCTACTTTGGAACTACATTCCCAATCCTTTTTATCTAATTCCAAAATGGACAAGAAGTAACAAGGACTATTTCAGAGAATCATGTCACCACTCTATTCTGTTTTCCTCTTCATATAAGCCATTTTATTTGTTTTTGGCCTAGCTTTTCTGCTTTTCTTTTATAATTCTTAGCAATACATTTTCCTTGCTTTTTTCTCTGAATAATAGATCTTAGAGATAAGTTTTATCAATAAACTATGCCATTTTAATTTTGGAGAAAAATTTTTAAGGAAAGTTGTTTTCTTTGTACCAGTCAATTTTATTTACAAATGAAATAAAATATTATACAAAATAAATTAAAGATTTGAAATAAAGATATTAATGAGCTAAATGAATGTTCCCTTGCATTGTGTGAGGTCTTTTGAAGCTCCAGAATCATTTTTAAAATCTACTTTAAGGCATTCTACTGTCATATATAACAAATTGGAATAAAAAATAAATAAATTTTAAAAATAAATAAACATAAAATGTACTTCAAATAGAGATAACTGCATTTGATGCTTTTGTGATATCTCATATTCTCAATTTCTCAAGACAATATTTTTTTTCTTTTATTAAGCTTCAAGTGGAAATAAAGAAATCATTTCTCATATTAGTCAACATGGAGGAAAATGGCCTTACTGGTTTAAAAAAATGGGTGAGTTCTTATTCCGAATGTTAAAAATATGTATCAGGCACTAAGAATGTAGCTCAGTATCAAGATTGCCTTGATATTTTACACTTTTTTTTGTCTAGCATGTGTAAGGCCCTAAGTTTAATCTCTAGTGCCACTGAGGGTGGAAGGGGAGGATACTAGCCGTGATGGCACACACCTGTGGTGACAGCTACTCTGGAGGATGAGGTGGGAGGATCACTTTAGGATCACTTTAGTTTGAGACTAGCCTAGGCAACATGGCGAAGTCTTGTCTTAAAAGGAAAAGTGTGTGTGTGTGTGTGTAGGTAGATATAGTTACAGTTATGTATTATGTTGACTAGATTTTTAATTTCTTCTTATTCAGAAAATATTCAAAAGTTGGGAAATTACACATTGAAATTGCAAGTTGTACTTAATGAAAGTAATGCAGATACCTATGCAGGAAGACCACTACCATCTAAAGCAATTAAATTCTCTGTTAAAGGTAAGGAAAACACTAATATGTAATTTTTAAATCAAGGGAAGATAAGATAATCAAATAAAAGTTGTTGGACAGTTGAGTAGCCATCTTGATTTTTAAATGGTTTTATAATTCTACTTATCATATTTTTAATTTTAAAAATGTCATTTGTTTTTTACTTTGAATTGTTACTGATAAAATGTAAAAATGTAAAGCTGTTTTGACTTGTGACCTTTTGCATGACCTTAGGTATTTGAGGAATAAATGTATGACTTGATATGAATTTGTTTTCATCCACTTGCTATATTCCTCATATCCCTTTTAGTCATGAAACTCCTGTTTTATTTTCTAGGGATTTTTCTGAAACTATTTGATTTCCTACTCTCCTTTCTTTCTATAATATCTAATATTGTGCACACTTGTAATCCCTGTGGCTCAGGAGGCTGAGACAGAAGGATCTCAGGTTCAAAGGCAGCCTCAGCAACAGCAAGGCACTAAGAAACTCATTGAGACCCTAACTCTAAACAAAATACAGATTAGGGCTGGGGATGTGGCTCAGTGGCTGACTGCCCCTTAGCTCAATCCCCAGTACCTACCACCCCCCCAAAAAAAATCTAATATTAAGATGGTGAATCGCCTGGCAGATATACTAATTTTCTTTTTTTTTATTTTTCATCTCTTGGTTTTATTTTTCTACTTTATTTGAGATTGCCTTGATATTTTACACTTTTTTTTAAAATTGTTGATGGACCTTTATTTTATTTATTGGTATGTGGTGCTGAGAATCAAATCCAGTGCCCCACACATGCCAGGCAAGCACTCTACCACTGAGCCACAACCCCACCCCTGATATTCTACACTTTTAATTGAGTTTTTTCTTTGCTGTTATTTTTTAGTTTCTAACTTTCCTTATTATCTGGTTATCTCTTTTTCCAAGCATTCTCTTACTATTTGATGGATTCACTACTTTTATTACTTCTCTGAAGCTATCAATAACATTAGGAACTTTTCTTTAATCTTATTTATTTATTTATAATTCTGTAGTTGTTGATGGACCTTTATTTTATTCATTCATTTATATGCCGCGCTGAGAATTGAACCCAGTGCCTCACATGTGAGGCAAGTGCTCTACACTGAGCCACCATCCCAGCCCCAATCTTTTTTATTTTTATTCTTTTTAGTTATTCATAATAATAGAATGTATTTTGGCAAATTATACATACACAGAGTATAACTTATCTTTAATACTTGTTTTCTCCATGTTGCTTTTTGCCTGTTTGCTCTGTTATATGAAATGCTCTTTTATATAATTAGTCATTTGCTCACATTTAAGAATGGGGTATTTAGGAAACATGTATTTTGTTGGGGGAAATTATAAGGATTTTTAGGTCTTCTCTCTGGTCAGTTTCCTCAGAGTGGAACCTTCCAGCTTCTTCCTGGGAAAGTAACAATCTGGTTGCTAGCATTTTGGGAGCCAAGTGCAGAAGACTGTTGGCAGGGGTATCTCAAATTTAATAAATAATCTTTCAGTTGATTTTTCTATTAACTATGACACTTTTATTAGTGCTTTGTCCCTCATGCCTTAGACTTGCCCTTTTCCTTCTTCAGAGAACAAATCATCTTTTACCAGGATGAGGAAAATATTTGGCCCTTACTTTTAGAGATGGGGCATTTGAGATACTGTGTCTTCAGCAGACTTCAACAAATCTTCCAAATTTATTCCAATTTCACAACAGATTTATACAACCATTTCTAAGACTTTTGGGTGTCCTGGAGTGTGACTTCAATTGAGTCTCAACTTTATTGTCATCTGAGAAATTTATTTTCTTAGATTTTTCTGGTGAGACAGTTACATTTGCCCGTATGTTCTTCAGCTTTCAAATTTCATTACTGTTGTCTTTTAAAAAAAATTTTTTTTTTTAGTTATACATGGACACAATATCTTTATTTTGTTTATTTTATTTTTATGTGGTGCTGAGGATGGAACCCAGTGCCTCACATGTGTGAGGCTAATGCTCTGCCACTGAGCCACAATCCCAACCCCAACCCACTATTATCTTTTTTCTTATGTGATGTTTTTGTAAATTTAGTTCCCTTAAAACAAAAAGTCTAAGCCGTGTGCAGTGGCATATGTTTATAATCCCAATGATTTGCAAGCCTCAGACAGGAAGATCATGAGTTCAAGCCCAGCCTCAGCAACTTTGTGAGACCCTGTCTCAAAAAAATAAGAAACGCCTGGGGATTTAGCTCTGTGGTGAAGTACCCAGGATTTGATCCCTAGTGCCCCTCTACCCAAAACAAACAAGTCCAAAGTGTCATTAAGGGGTTTTGGACAGGACTGATTTAAGAGCCTGTGATCACCTTGTTTTCTTTAATTAGAAGGATCACCTGCAGAATTTTCTTTTTTTTAAAAGATCATTTATTTTTTGTACATAGAAATATACTATGTTCTTTTAATACAGTGAAACATATTTTAAAGTATAGATTTCCTGTAGTTTTAGCAGTTTCCTATTGATGATCCATTTAGGTTGTTTCCAGTTTTTTGGCTATAAAAGTTATTCTGTTTTATGTACATACGCTAGAATTTCTCTAGGTACAACAAATTCTCAAAAGGCTATGTAGATCGCACCAATCAACAGATGATAAGAATTTTTTTCCCACCTACTTATTTGTCAAATCCCTATGTATTTATTTAGACAAATTGGGGGGTCAGGTGATTTCTCTAATTTTTTTTTTCTTTTTGTAGTTGTAGATGGACAAAATGCCTTTATTTTTTTTACTTTTATGTGGTGCTAAGGATCGAACCTAGCACCTCACACATGCTACTTGTCAAAACGCTTTGCCACTGAACTACAACCCCAGCCCTGATTTCTCTAATTTTGAGTTTGTGTACCTCTTCTAGCCTTTATTGGACATTGTATATCACCTGAAAGCTTATTTATTTGCATTGCCCATTTTAATAGTTTAGAGCTGTGATTCTCACATATGAGTTTGTATCTGAACCACTTAGAGTGCTTATTAAAACATTATGTTGTGCCCTCACCCCCAGTTTTTGCTTCAACATGTTTGGTGGTAGGCTGTAGCATTTGCATTTCTAATGTATCCTAGGAATGGTGAAAACTACTAGAGACCACGCTTTTAGAATAGCTGTGTTAAGGTATCAGTGGTAGAACACAAATTTACCATGAGGCCCTAGGTTAGGTCCCCAGCACAAGGAAAAAAAAGAGAGAGAGAGAGAGAGAATAGCTGATTTATAGGAGATTTTAAATGTATTCTGAATTTTAATTCTTCATTGCATGCTTTACAAATAATCTCTCATAATCAGCTTCTCTGTTAAACTCATCAAATCCTTTTATAGCTGTTCAGTATATTGTGTTTTTTGCCTTAGAAATTTTTTCTTGGGATTAAACTTAAAAACATTCTTCATCATATTCTAGTTTCTGAGATAAACATCTATTTCTACCTCTACTTTTACTTTTATATATGTTGTGTGACAAAGTTCTAATTTTACTTTCCCATATGGATTGTTAATAGTAGTTAAAATTTACACAGATTTAAAATGCCATCTTTGTCATAGTCTAACTTCCCATATATGAATGTCTGTTTCTTACCTCTAGTGAATTTTCTGACCTATGAATTTACCTTCTTTCTTTCTTTTTTAATCTTTATTTTTGTTAAAGAGGGCAAGCCAGAGAAATTTTCTTTTGGTCTTCTGGATCCTCCTTTTCGTGTTGGAGTTCCATTCAACATCCCTTTGGAATTTCAGGATGAATTTGGTCATACCAGCCAACTAATAACTGATATTCAGCCAGTTCTTGAAGCAAGGTAATTTAAAATGTTGATTTATTCGTCTTTTTATATTTGCTAACCATTCATTCTTTTTCTAAGCTTAAATTATTTCTGTGAGGTTAATTTCAATGTTGTCATTTAAAATGTTTGGTGAATTTTCTGACGTTTGGTGACTTATTTGGCCCAAACTCTCTTCTGAGACTGCAATGTCATATATAAATTTAGGTCTTAATCCATTTCCTTTTGCAAGTATGATATGTCTTCCTGGCAATTTTTTTTTTAGTTCTTGTTTATTTAGAAGTTATGCCATTCAAACTTGATGGGATTGTAATTTATTTTGGTGTTTTAAGCAGTGAAATTGATATTTCCTGTCCCTCCTTAAAATTTGCCTGTACTTAATAGCCCTTTTGAATGATATAATTGCCCTATATCAAAAAAGTAGCTCTTAATAGTATGTCACTTGATGTCATTGAATATGTTCATTATTTCCTATTACCTTTTTTTGAGATGCTTAGTAAGAAATTCCTGAAAAAAGAGTCTTAAGAGGATAACTTGTGATTCTAAGCAGTTGTTTATTTATAAAACATAATAATAATAATATCAATTATTTCTTTTTGCATTAGCTGCCAAAATTCTCTTTTTGTACCCATTTCTTGTTTTATTTTTATGATGCTAGGGCTCAAACCTAAATAAAGCCTTATGCATGCTAGGCAAGTACTCTACCTCTAAGCTTACAACCCCAGGCCTGTGCCATCTTTTCATGTATACTTCCTTTTATTGTCTCTATGTATTTTTCCCCTTGTGGTGGAACGTTTCACTTTTAGTTATTTGAACATGTATTATATTCTAGGTACCTGGTAGCTAAAATAATAGAAATGAATAAAAAGGACATTTGCCTTCCAGAAGCTCATACACTAGTGAAATAGAGCTATATCTAGAATATGCCTTGGTGAAATTCTTGAAAAGCAATATCTACTTATAAAAGAAAATCAGAATGAATTTTTTGTTGTTTTATGTTCCTTCAAGTTGCAAAAGGTCATTTTTTTTTGTCTTTTTGACATATTATATTCATTTGAATATTAAATAGCACTGGAAGATTTCAATAAACATGTATTTTTAAATAATAAAACAGTAAAGGTATCTAATTACAAATGAATAATATTTAAAACATCTTTAAAAGATTTTTTTTTTTTTAGTTGTAGATGGACACAATATTTTATTTATTTTTATGTTGTGCTAAGGATTGAACCCAGTGCCTCACACATGCTAGGCAAGCACTGTACCACCAAGCCACAACCACAGCCCACAAATGATAATATTAATGCATTCATATATACCTCTTGTCTTTTATAACTTCACTTTATCTATGGTAGGATACTCTTATTTATGAAGTCTTCCTCATATATACACACATAGTGATAGTTAAGATTTTGGACATTTAAAAATGTCTTGGTGACATGATAGTGTGAATTTATCTTCAAGAGAGGATGACTATTAAATGGGTGGGTTCCTTGTTTTCAGAGTTATTTAATTTTTTAAATAAATTATTCATGTATATGCCTTAAAGAATCAAGTTAAGTCAATAAGTCAATGGGCATGGTGGCACATGTCTACAATCCTAAGGATTCAAAAGGCTGAGGCAGGAGAATCACAAGTTCAAGGCCAGCCTGGGCAATTTAGCAAGACCTTGTATCAAAATTAAAATTAAAAACCCAGTCAGTATTTTCCCAGTACTGAGGGGGAAAAAACCCCAAAGGTCTCCCCTCCCTTTCTACTTTAACCATGATTTACTTCTCAGAGAACCTCTTTCAGCTTTCTTGCTTGATTCTTCTGATTATTACCATATTTCTAAGTAAATTTTATATTGGTCCTTGATTCTTCAGTTTTATGTGTTATCTCTACTTAATGGCTATGGAAGATTAGGACATACTGTCTTATTGTCACCTCCTTTAAAATAAGTATCTCTCTTGTTTCCTCTTTCTTTAGTGAAGTTATATTCTGGTTTGATCAATATTTAGTATTTACTATATAATAGTAATATAAATTCTAGTCAGTGTTACTACTGTGTTGTTACTGTACTTTTTTGTTGTTGTTGTTTCCTAAGCTTATTACAGATTAAACCATAAACTCTGAAATTGTCTTTTACAATTGTCTAGTTTCTTTTCAAGATATTTAGATGTAGCCAGGCTTGGGACACACACCTGTAGTCTCAGCAACCCAGGAGACTTGAGTGAGGAGGATTGCAAGCTCAAGGACAACCTCAGTAACTTAGCAAGATTCTGTCAATAATAATAATAATAAAAGAAGTACCTCTGGATTCAATCCCCAGAACTGGGAGGGGAGAGGGAAGTACATTTTAGGTACACAGATAGTCCATTGGCTTCATATCCTTGGAGACGGTTCCCTTTGAGCATGTGATAAGGACTAGTCTGGAGTAAATGTTTCTATGCTTTGACAGTTTTCTTTCTGTACTCTTCTTCCATTTTCATCCAGGGGACTTCCTTTGTCTGTCTTCTGTGTTTGGGAAATAATTAAACCAAAAAAACCTTTTCCTAACCTAGAAAACTTCTTAACAAAGGTAGAAGAGAAAGAAAAAAGTTATATACATAACATTAAACCAGCATGTGACCAAAGCAGCCAAGCTGAAGAGATTTGTAGCCCAGTTTGGTGGCACATTGCTATAATCCCAGCAGCTAGGGGGATGAAGGGGAGTGGCTGAGACAGAAGGATTGCAGGTTCAAAGCCAGTCAGCAACTTAGTAAGACTGTAAGCAACCTAGTGAGACACTTGTCTCAAAATTAAATTAAAATAGTTGCTGGGGATGCGGCCTGAGGTTAAGCACCTCTAATTCAATCTCCGGTACCAAAAACAACAACCACCACCAAAAATAAAAAATAAAAAAAGATCAGATTTGTGAATACAAAGAAATCTTACCCACCCCACCTGCCCTTTGTTGGTGGTACCTAGGGATTCATACATGCGAGTAAAGGTCTTTTGAGACAGGATCTGACTGAGCTGCACAGGCGGGCTTTGAACTACTGATCTTCCTGCCTTAGCCTCTCATGGAGCTGGGATTAGATGTATGGGATTAGATGTATTAGATGAATTTTACTCTTAAGAGGAATACAACCCATTACATTCATGCTTTCAAGAGAAAATTGTTAAAATTTGTGGCATCTTTATGACAGGAGGTAGGATTTGCAATTTGGAGTCACAAAACAGTTGAAATTCATCCCATATTCTCCCAGACTAATGGAAAGTGGGACATTATCTTCTTTCATTACGTTTCAAGGAGATGGTTCTTGGTGCTTAAAGAAATACTCCAGAGTTGTGAAACTATATTAGTTATATTTTATTTAGCATTTAGATCCTTTCATGGATCTCCAATATTAAAAAAAAAAAAACAAAACTCATGCCCCTTTGTATTTGCTGAAGCACATCCTTCCTTGGTTTCCTGAGGAAAGGGTTCATGTGAAGTAAAAATTCTTCTGTGAAATGTTTTTCTTTTATCCTGATATGATAGATTAAATTACAAGTCAGAAACTTTTTCCATCAGAATTATAAAAGCATTATACTTGATTCATTTTTACTTGATAGCATCCCTGATAAATTTAAACGTATTTTTGTTCCTTTTACATGTTTCCTGTTCTTTCTCTCTCAAAGCTTATAAAATCTACTTTTCATTCTCAGTTTCATTCACTGTGAAATTTTACAGTGATTTGTCTTTTTATAGGTCTCTTACTTTTTTTTTAAGTACTTTATTCTGATCATCTGTCATCCTGTTTTCTCTTTGTAGGATCCTCATTTATTGAATATTGGACCTTCTGGGACGACTCTCTGATTTTCTTAATTTTCTCAATCATTTTATATTTGTATTTTCTGGCGGATTTTCTCAACTTATCTGTATACCCTTTCCATTGAGAATTTTTCTTTTTGATTTCCAAGAATTTGTCCTGGTTTTCTGAATATTATTTTAAAGAGCCTATTCTTGTTTTATTAATGTAATGTTTTTTCACTCATAAGTAAATGGTAGATTTTTTATCTATACAGATACTGTTTTCCCCAAGTTAGTTGCTTTTTATTTTTTTTTTCCTACTCTCTTTTCTTCAGATATATGGTAGTCATTGACCATCTGCTTGTAAATAAGTAATTCTTTTTTATTTGTTTTTTGCCACATTGAGGATTGAACACAATGCCTCATATATGTCAGGCAAGCGATCTACCATTGAACCACATCCCCAGCCTAATAAATAAGTAGAGAATTGAAATGTGGATGGATGAATCTGGAAGTAGAAGTTATTGAACTGGTAGCTCCACTATGGGATTATCTGTCTGGGGAACTTTGTTGGGAATAAGGAAGAACCTGGTTGTGAGTCTTTAGGTCTTTTTTCACCCCTTGGGCTGGGTAGTTTCCTTAAAGAAAAATCTTTGATCTCTGTAATTCCAAGCCAGTCAAAGAACAGAGCTAGAGTGGGAATTGGATAAATGGGGGGTTTTCAGAATCTACATGCATTCATTTAGAATTATCCTTTCCATTCCTTTTTCTCTCCTTCAGTTAATCTGCTGCTCCTAGTTTATCAATCTTTGATTTTAACCTTTTCAAAGAGCAGTCTTCCAGTCATCTGCCAGAGGTGGAGAGGGGAAATTTAGGATCTAAACTTTCATGACTTTCTTTTCTTTTCTTTTTTTGAGTTGTGGATGAACGTGTTTTTTTTTTTTTTTTTTTTTTTTTTTTATATTTTTGTGGTGCTGATAGTCGAATCCGGTGCCTCACACATGCTAGGCAAGCACTCTACCACTTAGCCACACCCCCAGCCTTCACTCTTTAATGTTATCCTTTACTCCAGCTTCTAAAGACTCCTAGTACTACCAGTTCCTGAGTGGTACCTGGAAATTAATTCCCCTTGTCTATCCTATGTTTTAGCAAATAAGATTTGCTGTCCTTAGCTGTGCATGTTGGCACAAGACCGTAATCCCAGAGGCTTGGGGGACTGAGGCAGTAGGATTGTGAGTTCAAAGCCAAGTCTGTAACTTAGTGAGATCTGATCTCAAAATAAAAAGGTCTAGAATGTGGCTCAGTGTTAAGCACCCCTGGGTTCATTCCTTGGTACGCAAAAAAGAAGAAGAAGAAGATTTGGTGTCCTTGTTTTTTTTTTGTTTTTTTTTTTTCTACCTTTTCCTTATGTTTGCTTTTAATAATAAATAAAAGAAATCCTTTGCTTTCAATATTAGTGAGATTTTAAGAGACAATGAAAATAGATGTGTTTAACATGCTAACCTTTCCTAGAGAGTTATTATCTTGTATGGCACTTTTACTTTTTTTTTTTTTTTCCTTCTTCAAACAAGGCTTATTGTTAAATATAAATCATGGGAATCAGAGTTTTGGACTAGGGTTCTGCTGTAGGCCCCAACAATCCAAGCTAAATATCAAAATGGAGTTATTCATCTTAAAGTCCCAGTCAACAAGTGATCTAAATTTCTGAGAAACTAGGATTAGAGAGAATACCATCCACATTTCCCATGCAAGCCTGTTTAAATTGGCATGATAATGAAGTTCCTTTGATCATAATCCTCACACAAAAAAAGTAACAGGAAATAATCTGATGTTAACTAGTTATTTCCCCATCATTCTGTCTTCTTATCCTTTTCCTACAGGGAAAGTAACTTGCCTTTTATTTTTGTTTCTGCTTGCTTTATTCCTTGTCTACAAAATCAGCCTCCTCTGCTGTGCTTATTGGAACACTTATTTTGTTGGAATGAAACAAATAGAATGAAGGTGTTGCCTACCTACAATCAAATATAAAGTCAATTAAGATCCTTAAATTGGGGCTGGGATTGTGGCTCAGTAGTAGAGCGATCACCTAGCACTGGCAGGACCTGGGTTCGATCCTCAGCACCACATAAAAATAAAGACATTGTGTTGTGTCCATCTCCACCTAAAAATTAAATATTTTAGAAGAAAAGATCCTTAAATTGTTGTCATTTTTAAATCTTCCAGTCTATTCAAAAGTACTTATATTATATTTAAAATGCTTCAGAAAAAATTAGGCCTTTTCCTCCATCATGGTGTATTTTTTATTTTTTTTCCCCTTTTCTTACCTGAGAGTAAAATGTTAGTCAATAGGTCTACATGTGGTTGGTTGAAGCTGACTTAGGAATCAAGTTGCTCATAACAGTAGATTAGGGGACCTCTCCATATATTTTAACCAGCTTATATCATGACAAGACTCTGGTTATTTAGACTTTTTCTAAAATTGCCAATAATTTTAATAGGTTCCAAAAATTCTCCAAAATTCAGCTGGATGACAGATTTCAAAGAATTCATAACAAATGCTCAAGATATCCTTAACCTGAGTTTAAATTTTTTACTGTGTTTATCTATGCTTATAAATGCTTGCTGGATCAGTTTTCTGTGGGAGCCAAGTGTAGTAGTACGTACCTATAATCCCAGCTACTCAGGAGGCTGAGGACTGTAAGATCAAGACTAGCCAGGGCAACTTAGTGAGACACCCCGTTTGAAAATAAAAAATAAAAGACTTTGGGTTGTAGCTTAGTGTTAACGCACCCTTGGTTCAATCCCTAGTACCATCAAATAAATTGGTTAATTAAATAAAAATTGAAAAGTGGGATTTAAGGATCTTAATTGACTTTATATTTGATTGTAGGTAGGCAACACTTCATTCTATTTGTTTCATTCCAACAAAATAAGTGTTCTGTTTATTACCTCTTATTTTAATATTATTTTGTTATTTCAGCACAGTGGTGCATGCCTGTAATCCTAGCCACCCCGGAGACTAAGGCAGTAGGATCGAAAGTTCGAAGCCAGCCTCAGCAAAAACAAGGCATTATAAGCAACTCAGGGAGACCCTGTCTCTAAATAAATACAAAATAGGGCTGGGCATGTGGCTTAGTGGTTGAGTGCCCCTGAGTTCAATCCCCAGTACCTAAAAATAAAAATAAATAAAAGATCTAAGGATGTGACTCAGTGGTTAAGCACTCCTAATACCAAGAAAAAAATTATTTATTACAAAAATGAATTAAACATGCCAATGTCATATTTGTACCTTATTTTCATAGGTAATAGAGGAGAACTTTTAAAAATACTTATTTTTTTCCAGTGGTTTATCTTTACATTATGAAGAAATAACCAAAGGACCAAATTGTATAATTCGTGGTGTTACAGTTAAGGGTCCTGTAAATTCTTGTCAAGGCAAGGTAAGCATTATACATAAATGTTATAATACTTGTCATTTGTTTCTTCTATAGTAAAAATGAAATTGGAAATTTAATATCAAATGAGCTGTTTTTGTAAACACTAGACAGTATTATTGAGTTGTTAGGAATTAATTAGCATCATGTCACTTTACTTACTAGTTTTATTTTTAAGAAAAATTGGCACCATCATTACTGTAGTTTTTTAAAATTTGTGAATTAGATGTTTTTCTACTGTCTTTATCTTCATTTTTTTCAACAGTTATCCAGTGGAACGTTGTTTTTTTCTCTTTTTCTGTTCATTTTATAGTATTTTTTCTTACAACAAAAATGATAGAAGTCTGAGAAACTTAAGCTTATGCCTTTAAATGTAATTGGTTTGGTATTCAGGTGAAGGTATTTGGTTAGGGATATGGTTAAGAAAGGAAAATACATAAACTACATAAGGTACCTTTTCAATTAGGTCTATACAGTATCTATTAGAGACTATTGTAGCTAATACCTTAAATAATTTATTACCTTTTTAAATACTATATCATTTACCTTTAGTATATACTTAAAATTATTCCTATTAGATGGGGCTATCCCTACCAGACTGGGCACGGTGGGGCAGGAGGATTGTGAGTTCAAAGCCAGCTTTAAGCCCCTAAGCAACTGAGTGAGACCCTCTCTCTAAATAAAACATAAAAATGGGGTAGGGATGTGGCTGAGTGGTTAAGTGCTTCTGGGTTAAATCCTGGGTACTGCTCCTCTTCCCCACCCCCAGTATGATTTTCAAAAGAGCATGTTGGGATTGGGGGTATATATAGCTCAGTGGTAGAGTAGCATGTATAAAGCCTGGGTTCAATTCCCAACCATGGAAAAATAAAATAAATTTTAAATAGAGCATGTGAATTTCTTCATGTATTGCAGACAGTACATCCCCAATCAGAAATGTTCCGATATCTGAAGCTTTTTGAAGCATATATGATGCCACAGTGTAGAAAATTCCACACCTGACCTCAATTGATAGATTATAGTGAAAACATGAGCACACGAAAAACACTGTATAAAATTATCTTCAGACTATGTATATAAGATGTACATGAAACGTAAATGAATTTTGTGTTTAGACTTGGATCTCATCCCTCTTTATGTATATGCAAATATTTCAAAATACAAAACACTTTGGTCCCAAGCATTTGGATAAGGGATTCAACTTAGTATATACTATTTTGTAGCTAAGTTGCCTGGTCTAGCCTCATCTTACAAGTAACTGGGAGCACAAGCACGTGCTGCACATCTTTCTGAATTAAAGTTTTCCAGAAATAGAAACTCATGACACATTTAAACTTTAGTAATATAAACTTGCTAAAAAAAGATTACTATATTTAAAAAACTTTTATTTTTAAATAGCTTTAGATTTTCAGAGGAGTTTAAATATAGTAGTTATATAGAAAGTTACTCTATAAACATCTTTAAAAACTTCATATTTATCAATGACAGAAAGTTAACACTGATATAATTAAGAGAACTACAGTCTTTATTCAAATGTATCAAGTAATTAGTAATTTTTTGTTCAGAATCTAATCTAATACTACACTACATTTAGGAATTTCTAGATTTTTTTCTACTTATTAAATTTCTCATTTTTGTAATATCTTTGATTGAAATAATTATTCACAGTTGACTTTTTGAGTTTAAAGACACTTGTCTACAAGAAAGCCAGATAAATCAAATTTTCCCTTTTGAGTCTCTTGCATATATATGATAACATTAGCAAATAGATTTCTATAATGATAAGGAAATAAAAGTAAAAAACAAATCAGAATTGAGACAATGAACCAAGTATGTATTTGAATTTGGTTTAATTTTTTTCTGGTATTTTTCAGTTTCTTTTTTATATGTTATATTTTAATGATACAGAATTCAATTAGTGTCACTGTGGCATATTTGTACATGTAAATAAAGGAATTTGATTTATATTGAGTTTAATTTTTTTCATTTTTTTTTCCCCCAACAGAATTTTAACCTGAAGGTTATTCTGCCAGGTTTAAAAGAAGACTCACAGATTTTGAAAATTAGATTACTACCTGGTAATATTTTAAGAAATATATCTAATAACTTATTTTAAATGATATTCTTAAAACTTGTTATGATACTAGGAAGTTGGAGTTTGGGGCAGGTTGGTAATGATATAAATCTTGAAAATACATTTGGATTGTCAAATAGCACTGACAGAAATGACCAGTAAAAAGGAAAACATGTACGAATATGTTAGTGAAGTTCTAAAAATAGTCTTAGGAGAAAAATTTGAATATTGACAGTGTTTTAGGTAATTTTCCCTAGGTATATAATTATTAGCTTTATGTTAAAAACTGTGCTGTTCTTTATTTTTTCATGATACAACTCTTTCATATTTTAAGAAGAGAAGTTTCTGATTTTATTTATTTAATTTGATATTGACAATGCAAAAAACTAAAATTGCATAAAAATTACATAAGATAGAAAATGCTGACTAATTTGAGAGGCAATCTGCTGTGGAGATTTAAAGAGTTTATTCTAGAAGCAGCCGTTTTGAATTTGTATTTAGGTTACACTTGATCCTGTGCCTCAGTTTCTTTACACATAAAATGAAATATATGCTCTCAAAGGGCTGTTGTGAGAATTCAAAAGTTAGTAAAGGTAGTTCTCCCTTGCTAGTCTTTTGTAACTGATTGGAAGACACAGTGCATGAGTTTTCATTATCAGTACTGTGCAATGTGAGAACTGCCTATACTCGTGAAACACTTAGAATAGTACTTCACTTGAAAGTTTTAGCTCTGATATTAACAAACCTTAATCATATCTTCTTTTGTTACCTTTTGTACTATTTTTAAGCAAAAGGGAATAAATTTTCTTATTGGCTTTCACAAATCCAAATTATATGAATTTTCCTCCAAGCATTCATTGAAAAAGAAGTGAAAATTGGCACACTGGTAGAAGCATAAGAAAAAAATTGTGTTAATTAAGTACTTGTTATGCTTTATTATAGAGGTTAGCTAAACAGTATAGATTTGGGCACTAAAATCCTTAGTAATTAGATGTTTCTGCATTGTTTTTGGAATTTGAGAGCAAAAATGGTAAAAAGGAAATAGATAGATGGTATGGTGAAAAAAGTGTCAAGGGGTTTAAAATTACAAACTACAATTTAAATCTGAGTCTGCTACTCATGTCCTTGACAAAATATTTAATCTCTCTGGATTAAGTATTTTCCTTATTTAATCCTTAGGTTAATTATATATAGTTGTTTTCTCATCTATAAAATGGATCTGATAATAGTACCTTCTTCATTTAGATTATTGTGAGATTTACAGTTAGAATAGTGCTTAATTAAAACTTAACACAGTGTCTAGCACATTTAGTAAATAAAATATTAGCATTATTACAAAGTAAAATAAGTATTTCTAATGACTGTCTTTATATGCGTGGATTTACCAGTATCTAACACAGATTGAATTTTAAAATATTAGTGATTATGGAGTAAAATCAGTATACTGCAGAGGTATAAACCCTTTTTTATTAATCTTCCAGGAAACTTGTGGTATAACTTGCTTATGGACATTGGAAGTAGTGAGCAATCTAATAAGTAAATCACTTGGTTGTATCAATACAAGAACTCATCTTTTGAATGCCTGAAAAGAGCCTATCATTATTTGTGCTTGAGAAGTCAGATATTATATAAAGTTAAAGATCACAAATAAAAAGTAGTTTGATAAAATTTAATTTTTCTTCTTGAATACTTTTTGTACCTCAATCCTTTTAAGATTTTACCTACTCAGATGATTTCTAGCATAAGTTATCATTGTCATAGTTTCTAGCATAAAACTAAGCCTAGACATCAGACATTTTTATTATATAGTTGAGACAGCTTTCATCACATGTAGAATCTATGCGTTTTGGAGACAGAAATTATTAAGCTTGGACATTGCTTAGCTTTTGCTTGATTGTATTATTTTTAAAATATCAAATCATTGTTTCTTTTGATGTTTCAGCACTTGAGTTTTTAAAACCTGTGTATTTTATTGTATGATTTTCTCTTAGGTCCCCCTCGTCATTTGAAAGTGAAACCTGATTCTGAAATTTTAGTTATAGAAAATGGAACAGCTTTCCCATTTCAGGTGGAAGTTCTAGATGAATCAGACAACATAACAGCACAACCAAAACTGATTGTCCATTGTAAGGTAAACTTATTGTGAGACAAGAATACTTATAGGCTGTATTTTAAATCCCATGGTAGTAGTAAATGGCAATAACTACATTTTTAAACTACTTTATAGTAAGTCTTAACATGATTGTTCTGTGGAGAAATTTGTGGGAGCTCTTATTGCTAATACTTTCTCAGTAATCCTAAACCAATGAAAGACACCAGCTTTGCCCAGTTTCAGAAAGAGATTTGTGGATGAAAGTTTCCTCCTCTCTTCTCCCTTTCTTTCATCCCCATTTAAGATGAAGTATTTTATTTGTACAGGCCGAATACAAATGTCTGTCAGGATTAGCAGTGGATGGATAAATGAAGGTGGGTAAAAAGACCACAGAAATGGAAAGGAAACCCAACAAAGCGTAGTAAAAAAGAAAAGACTAGTGATTGAGAATGTTGGTTTTCCTTCTAAAAGAAATAGCTTTTACTTAGCATTGTAGAAAATTATTATTTATGTTCAGAAATTCTCTAGATTGTTTATTTATTTATTTATTCATTTATTTGTTTAGTTTGGGATTAAACCCAGGGTACTGTACTGCTGAGCTACATTGCCAGTTCCTCTTTATTTTTTATTTTGAGACAGTGTCTCACTAAGTTGCTGAGGCTGTCCTTGAACTTGAGATTCTCCTGTGTCATTCTGATTATAGGTCTGCATCACCATGCCTGGCTAATTCTGTAGAATTTTGAATTTAGAATTTTCCAATTTATACCCATAAATAGTAACTATAGTGAGTCATTGGAAATTTTTGATTAATTATTAAATACTCAGTTACATTTGTTAGGGTTTTGAATTATTTTTCATCCTCCTTATAGTTTTCAGGTGCTCCAAACCTTCCAGTCTACACAGTGGATTGCAGTAGTTCTGGAACCAGTATTTTAACAGGATCTGCAATTCATGTTCAGAATATTAAAAAAGACCAGACACTTAAAGCAAGAATTGAAATACCTGTAAGTTGTCATTATTTATTAATATTATTGATTGTTAAAACAATTAGTCTTTAACAGATTTATACTATTTTTTATAGATATGTAGTTTTTTATTAGTATTTCCACATTAAAGGATTTTGTTATAACCTACATAACCTACTAATAGAATAGTTCTTATTGGAAATGCATCATGGCTGATGGTGAAGACATAATGGAAGAGGGCAGTATAAACAGGCAGTATTGCTGAATGGGATAACAAATAAATAAAATATGTAAATGTGATCCCCCCCCCCCCGTGTGTGTGTGTGTGTGTGTGTGTGTGTGTGTATGTATGTATACGCACGCCACGAATTGAACCTAGGGGCATTTAACCACTGAGCCACATTTCTAGCCCTTTTTATTTTTCATTTTGAGAGAGGGCATCACTGAGTTGCTTAGGACCTCCCTAAATTGCTGAGGCTGGCCTTGAATTTACAATCCTGCCACAGCCTCCCAATCTGCTATGATTACAGGCATGCACCACTATGCCTAACTTAAATGTGATTTCTTAGTAATCGATATGATTGGCAGATAACTTAATCAATTTATTAACTCATACTTGTCTGCCGATTATACAACAATTATTAGTAATCTTGAGCCTCAAGGAGTAAAAGATAGGACTTGCATTTTTTTAATCAGAAGAAGATTACTCAGTTTTATTCTTGTTTTCAAGCTGATTATATTTGATAAATCTGATTCATTTCTTTTATGCATTAGTATAGACAACATATTTTTGAGCAAACTATCTTCTAGAAGGTCAAGAAGTACAGGACTTAGAGAAGAATCTGAACTTGGAGGCAAGAGTAATAAGTTGGAGTTATGTGAATACTAAAAAACAGCAGTAGGTAGAAGACCAAGAGTCCAAATCACTTAAAAACAAATACCAAGGTGTATTTTCTAACGGGCAATTACAAAATCTTATCCAAAGGCAATTCCTCAGAGTTTAAGGAGTCAAGCAAGTAAGATAAATTTCTAAGATTGCCTGAGAGTCAATGAAGTACAAATTTTAAATATATTATCAGTCACTTGAATGGATTTCCATAGGAATGGCTGCAACTAGATGAAGAAGGAGATGAATTAAACAAGGTAAAGGTAAAAAGTATTTTAGAGTTTAGCTTATTTTAAACTTAGTGTATGCTGTGGAATGTAGTGAGATTATGAAATAATGATGTCATATTTTTGTGTACTTAAAATCAATTTATATAGCATAAACCAGTTCTTCACTGATCTGTGGAACACTGGCATACTAATAATAATTGATATTTTTCCAATATATTGATCAGTTCAGCCTTCAGTTCATCTAGGTTTCTTTGGCTTTATGCATCCAGGTTTCTATGTTCATTTACCCAGTGTGTTATCAACTGGTAAAATATAGAAAGCTTCAATGTAACCCATTATAATTAAATAATAAATTGTTTAGTAACTTTCAAGTGATGGTCACTGAATCTGTGACATAGTAAAAATTTTATAAGTTTACAGTACTTTTAAAACAAATTCAGAAATGAGGGGGAAGAAATCCTTTTAGTACAAATATACTTATTATTGGTTTTAAGAATATAACCAAGGCTGTTTATAACTTGATGGTGTAAAACATGGAATTATTAATAATATAACGAACTTAATGACAAACCCTGTAAGTGTAACAGTATTTATGATGATCATCCATAACTTTGAAACTAAATTCTTCAGCAATGTAATGGATTTCACTACTAAATTTTTTAAGTTTTTAGTAGAGATGCCGCTAAGTACATGATTGTATTTTTCTCTCTTCCTAGAGCTGTAAAGATGTGTCACCTGTGGAGAAGACGATCAAGTTGCTTCCTAGTAGCCATGTTGCACGACTTCAGATATTTAGTGTAGAGGGACAAAAGGCAATCCAGATCAAGCATCAGGATGAGGTTAATTGGATAGCAGGGGATGTTATGCGTAATCTTATTTTTCAAATGTATGATGAAGGAGAAAGAGAAATCAACATAACATCAGCTTTAGCAGAAAAAATTAAAGTAAGTATCTCAAATTGGTTATTTGCAAGAAGTTTTTTTATTTTGGTTTGATTTTGAAGGGGTGGGGTATGGAGATGGAACCCAGGAGTGCTTAACCACTGAGCCACATTCTGCAAACCTTTTTATTTTTTGTTTTGTGACAAGGTCTCACTAAGTTGCTGAGGCTGTCTTGGAACTTGTGATCTCCCTGCCCTCAGCCTCCCAAGTCACTAGAATTCCAGTTGTGCACCACCATGCAAACAGGTGGAGCATAAGCAAGAAGTTTTATGGGTAGTCTCTAAGAAGCAACTTAGAGAAAATGACTATTATTTAAAATTCTGGGCTGAGAAAGTTTTTTCAAGGACTATACTGAAATGCAGGTGATTCACATGTGAGAAACTTGTACTTAGAAAAATTATTTTGACCCTTAATCAAAATTTCTAGGTTTTGGCATTTTATTTAGTTATATACTTTTTCATCAAATGTAAATCTGCAGTCATAATTTCTGCCTTTTCCCATGCAATGTATTTATAGTTATTCTGAAGGTATTATACAAATGGAAGTGTTGAAAAGCCTTCAGTGAAATAATATTGTTAACTACAGAGCCTTTATTGGCCATTTGAGATTGATATAGCTATCATATAAATCTAACTTTAAACTTAGATTGGATTGAATGTGCATGGTGAAACAACATATCAATGAACAGGGAACAAAATCTATTAATATTTTGTCTACTTTCAGCCTTCTATAGTTGTGATTTTTAAATCATCAATATCCAAATATTGTCTTATAGTATATGCTACTATATGGAGCATATTATTATTTTTTACCACATACAGTTTTTAAAAATATTCATTCCTCAGGTGTAGATGGACACAACACAATGCCTTTTATTTTTATGTGGTGCTGAGGATCGAACCCAGCTCCCGCCCGTGCTAGGCAAACACTCTACCACTGAGCAACAATCCCAGCCCCCACATAAATTTTTTTACCATATAAATTAGACAGCTCTGTGGCATTCTCCTTTTGGTTGACTGAAATTATATTGGGCAATTTATGCTTGCTTCTTTCAAAGTCCAGTGAGTTCTGCCATAATGAGACACGGGCATTCCTCAAATGCACTGTGCCGTCCAGAACCATGCAGTAAAAAATCACAAGGCTTATGGGGAAAATGGAATTAGAGGCACAACACTCAAACTTCATTAGTAACCCATTTAAAAAGAAAGGAGCCTAAAACAAGTGGCAAAATATAAACAGTAATGCATATGTGAAGAAGTACATAAATACTTTAAAAATACAGCAGTTTTCTTTGCTTGCCAGAGTTACTGGAAAGATAGTGAATACTACTATTTTCTTAAGTTAAATGTATAATTTTTACAGAGGTTTTGTAGTCTTTAGAGAATTAAGCCAAGATTGAGGGAAATCAGTTTGAATTGAGAGGGCAGCACAGCTGGGATAAGGGGAGAAAGGCTTTGTCCTTTCTATATAATTGCTGCTTGCCTCCATATAGTAGCATATACTATAAAACAATATTAGGATATTGATGATTTAAAAATCACAACTACTTTGGGGCTGGGGACGTGGCTCAAGCGTTAGCGCGCTCGCCTGGCATGCATGCGGCCCGGGTTCGATCCTCAGCACCACATACAAACAAAGATGTTGTGTCTGCCAAAAACTAAAAAATAAATATTAAAAAAATTATCTCTCTCCCCTCCCCCTCCCTTCCCTTCTCTCTCTCTCTTAAAAAATAAAATAAAATAAATAAAAATCACAACTACAGAAGGCTGAAAATAGAGTGTTAAGCTAAAAATTCTTAAAAGGATTCAATTTAAAAGTACGACAGAGTAGCATAATCAATTTGAAGAAGTATGAATTAAGTAATAAATTAAGTAATTCAAAGAATATAAAATTTAGAGCTTAAAACATTCAAGAAGAGATTAAGATCAAAAGATGACCAGAAAGGAAATTACATTAATGGATATGACTTTCTTTTTCTCATTTTGCTATATAAAGGTCCACCCAGGTCTCATTCAAAGCCTTTATCCATACTCCTCTGAATTGATCACATTATCTGAGCTATAGGGTTTTTTTCCCTCTTTTCTTGTAGTTTTAAATAATAATGACAGTGGTGATAATTTTGTGGCAGAGTTCTAAGGTAAGAACTTAATTTTTTTATTACACTGAAAGTTATGGCACAATAACAGCAAAGACAATACTTTTTTTTCCCCGTCATCCTAATAAATAACCAGAATCATTTTTGACATAAAAGGACTCTCTGTCTCTCCTTGGGGTTAGTGCTTTAAACAAATTAGACTCTATATTCTTAAATAATGCTATTATTTTCTAGGTTAATTGGACTCCTGAGATTAACAAAGAACACTTGCTACAGGGTCTGCTTCCTGATGTACAAGTACCAACATCTGTAAAAGATATGCGCTATTGCCAAGTTTCATTTCAAGATGATCATGTGTCTTTGGAAAGTGCATTTACAGTAAGGTTTGTGGACTTAGTATATTTTGAGATACTTTAAAATTTGGCATATGTCATAAACATTTCTCTTCAATGCAAACATGTGAAAGTTTATGAGATAAACATATTGCAGTTTCAATTAAATATGGGTAGGTTGTCTTTGGAATAAAGCTTCACTGTAAATGGTGATTAATTCTTATCATGATTATAACCCTGCATTCATTGAATTTGCCCTCTAATAACTGAAAGAACAAAAACTTTCATTAAAGGAAAGTCTTCCATTTTGGAAGCAACAGTGAAAACATCTCCAAAATGACAATGGCATGAAAAAAGATGGAGAGTGATCAGTGTGATGTTTAAAAGGAAAAATTCTTTTATTGGTTATTGATGACTTTAGGCTGATTCCAATCATAGTTATTATGAAGAACTCAGAAAAGGGAAAGGCTTATGTAAATATGTAAAAACCTATCATCTTCCCGGCCTGTCAATTCCTTGGCCACCTCTTTTCTAGTGATCTCTTGCATTGTAATTCCTCTACCTGTTTCCATAATATTTCCAGCACTTAGATCAGCTCTGAATTTGAAATAAAATCTTTGGATTTATCACTTTTCTGACCATAACCATTTCTCTTGATGAGTTGTTCTTACCCATTTATTTTCTCACTGCACTGTTGTTTTAATTTCCTTTTAATTTAACTATGACATAAAATGGTTTTTAAAAATATATATATTTTTTTCATTGTATGAATTGAAGAGAGGTCCCAATCTGATTTTTCAGTGCACGTTTGTCATAATTTTTTTTATCCCTGTATCAGTACTATATGACTTTTAAGTATTTTTAGAGTTAATAGCTATACTTTATGAGTTGAAGAGGTATTTGGAAGGATATCTTAATTTTAAGTTTTATAAGATTATATATATATTGCTCTTTGGAATATTGGAACTACTTTAAATTTTTTTTCTACAGTTAATGGTGTAACTAAAGCCTTTTAAACAATTTCAGACCACTTCCTGATGAAGCCAAACATTTAAAATGTGAATTAAAGGGGGGAAAAACAGTACAAATGGGCCAAGAGCTTCAAGGAGAAGTAGGTTAGTACGGCCTTCTTTCTTTCTTCTGTGGTGGTTTTTTTACATTAGTATTTTTTTTTTAATTTTTAGTTATACATGGGCACAATATCTTTATTTTGTTTATTTATTTTTATGTGGTGCTGAGGATTGAACCCAGTGCCCCACATATGCAAGGCAACCGCTCTGCCACTGAGCCACAATCCCAGCCCTTACATTAGTATTTTAATAGGCATAATCTGAAAGGCAAGTTTTTTAAAAAAATATTTTTATTTATTCATTTTTATGTGGTACCGAGGATTGAACCCAGGGCCTCATGCATATGAGGCAAGCACTCTACCACTGAGCCACGATTCCAGCCCCTGAAAGGCAAGCTTTGACATCCATTCAAAATCGATTTAGCAGCTAGACATGGTGGCACATACTTGTAATACCAGGTACTTGCTTGGGAGGCTGACGCAGGAGATTCAAAAATTTGAGGGCAGCCTAGGCAACTTAGCAAAACCCTGTGAAAAATTAAAATAAGGAATCTTAAAAAAGGTAAGGGATATAGCTTAGTGGTACAGCAAATTTTGCTTAAATTGTGCCCCACTGCCACCAAAAAATAAGAATTAATTTGACCTTTTGTCAGAAGAAATAATAATTAAGTATAGAGTAAATGTATTCCTATGCAGCCTGTTCATTCATTATATGTAAAAATTATATAATATTAAATATTTTCTTTAAATTTTCATGGTAAAAAACCTGATTAAGGGATGGGTTTGAGCTGTGACTCAGTGATAGAGTGCTTGCCTAGCATGCATGAGAACCCTGGGTTTGATCCCCAATACCACCGAAAAAGTAGAAAGAAAGAAAGCTAGCATTAACATCATGTTAAGTATATAGTTTAAATGTTCTTATGTAGATTTTGATGTATTAATTTTTAATGATTATAAAAGAAATGAGTGTACTCATTTAGTGCCCACAATTACTTATGTAAGAGAACAAAGTTAAAATTTCTAAGTATGTTTTAAGTATGTCATATATATTTATATCTTGTATTAAAGAGATAACACAAAGATAAAACTTTTTTCTTTTTAAGTCCTAATAGTTACAGATCAGTATGGAAATCAGATTCCAGCATTTTCACCAGGTTGTTTATCTGCTTTGTCAATTGCTGGGGTTGGACTTGATAACTCAAATTTGAAAACAACTTTGCAGGTAAGGCTACTTTCTGTAACAGTTTTTTCAGACCTTTTTTTTTTTTAAATGTATAAAAAGCATTGGGTGAGAAAGGAGAATATCTAAGAGGTTTGACTTGATTTTTCAAACTTCAAAGTCATAAAAGCAAAACTTATATAATGAAAATTTGCAGTTATGCAAAAGTGGAATAACAAAAGTTATTCTTGTGTTCCCCTCACTCAACTTTAGTGATCATCACGTCTTTCTATATCATATCATCTTCTAGCAAATTATAGATATTATATCATTTCTCCATACATATTTTGCATATGTATATATATTTGTATTATGTGTAGTGACTTTTCAAGTAGCTTATTAAACTTCTTACAGCCTGCATTAAACAGGATACCAAGGAGAAAACTTATTGTTAAAATTGGCCACAGTTAATTCAGCCTGAAAAATAAAAACCCTGATTGGGGGGCTGGGATTGTGGCTCAGTGGTAGAGTGCTTGCCTAGCATGTTTGAGGCACTGGGTTCAATCCTCAGCACCACATAAAAAAGTAAATAAACAGGGCTGGGGATGTGGCTCAAGTGGTAAAGCGCTTGCCTGGCATGCTTGGGGCGCTAGGTTCGATCCTCAGCACCACATAAAAGTAAAACAAAGATGTTGTGTCCACTGAAAACTAAAAAATAAATATTAAAAAATATTCTCTCTCTCTCTGAAAATAAATAAATAAGCAGAATAAAGGTATTGTGTCCATCTACAGGTAAAAAAGAAACTTTTAATAAAAATTTTAAAAATATAAACCCTGATGGCATTCTTAGAATTTAAAACAAACAAGCATGATTGGAGAAGTCAAAGGTGACTTTAGGGAAGAGGACATTCTGGAGTTGTGTCTTCAAGAAACCTGCCAGGCCAGCATGAATGAGAGTGTTCTCTCAGGCCTAAGTGAAGTTAAATTTATGTATAACATTGACCTTCTTAAGACTTTTCCTCCACTTTGAGCTTTCATGACACTTTTCATTTGACAGATTAATCACAATAGCCTCGTTGTTGCCCTTCCCAAGTAGAGTTTTTATAATTCTGCTAATCTATTATAGCTATTATTTTCTGATTTTCAGAATGGAACTATGACTATATTGGAGCCCTGCTGAACAACTTTTAATGATTTTTTTTGTACAGTGATAAAGTCTGTTCTTTGACTTTGAGGTTCTTTCCTTACCTAGCTTTAATCCCATGTGCAGATGAAATGAGAAGTAAATGTGCTCCTATTGTTATTTATACATAATCCCTGCTTCCTAACTCTGTGCACAGGTTCTATCCTCTCTCACCTAATTGCTATTAAATTGTAACCTGTCTTTCTACATCTTCAGTTTCCCTCTGTATTTTGGATTAAACTCAAAGGCACTTTACCACTGAGCTACATCCCCAGACATTTTTTTTATTTTGAGATAGTCTCTAAGTTACTAGGATGTAGCCAAGTTGCTGAGGTTGGCCTCAAACAATACTATAATATTACAATATTGTATCCTACAATACTATATTTAAAGACTATTGCTTTAGTTAGTCTGCAATACCTTATAATATTCCACTTAGTATACTCACAACTTTCTCCCTCCCCTCTTACCCTCCATAGCTTTTTATTCTACAGCCAAGTGAACCTCTTTCAGCTTTCTATTATTTTACAACCAATACATACTCTCCTGGCTCATGTTCAGAAATTTATATTTAATTCTGTTTGTACCGACCCATAATTGTAAACGCAATTTTGTTTTCAAGATTTGAAATAAAATCAGAACAACTTCCAACATGACTTTAAAAAGGAATCACCTCTTATTTATGATGTTAAATGTACAATCCTATGATAGGCTTCATATATTTTGAATTTTGAATATGTTTTACTGATGAATATCTATTTGATTTTTCTTCATATTGAAAATTTTGCTAAACCATGGGGTTTAAGGGAGATTAGTTTGGATTATTGCAATGTTTACTTTACCTAAAATGCTGTATAAACATTTGTTCTAGAATATAAAACTTGAAATTTTATCTCTGATTTTTAAATTTTGATGAAGTGTATTTCTACTTAGAGGAAATGTAAAATGATTAAGTCAGTAAAGGTCAACTATTAAAATATGAATACTACAGTATCATATAGAGTCAAAGCCCCTACCCTTGGAGATCACCTTGTCATGGGTATGGCTTGTAATAGATAAGAAGAAAGTGATAAGAAAAATAAAAAAGAGAAGGTGATAGTGTGCCATTATGTAGAGTGGTTACGGAAGACCCCTTTAATTAAGGTATCATATATGCAAATAATTAAAGAAAAGCCATATAGATATCTGATACATACTGTTGCAAACTGAGGAAAAGAACACAAGTATAAAGGCTGTTATCTGGCAGCAGGCACTTGCTTGGCTTTTGGGTAACAGAAAAGAAGCAGTACAGATTATTGCTAATCCAAAATCTGAAAAACTCTGAAATCTGAAACTTTTTGAGTACTGAAGATGATATGCAAAAAGTTTCACACTTTGAGGTATTTTCACATTGGAACAATTCAACCAGTCAAGTTTATACAAATATTTCATAATTGAAAAACTAAAATCTGAAGTACTTTTGGTTCTCAAGCACTTTAGATAAGCATTTCTTTCTGTATAAGGAATAGGAAAATTAGGAAATGATAAGGTAATATGTAGCCAAAACCTTTCAGATTTGCTAGGTACAGTGACACCTAATCCTAGGGTTCAGGAGGCTAAAGAAGATCACAAGATCAAGGCCAGCCTGTCTCATAATAAAAAGTGAAAAAGAATGGGTTCAATCTCTCGTAAAAAAGAAACAAACAACAGTTTAGATTCTACCCTACCAAAAGAAAGAAGGAAATTTAGTTTCTCCTTGTTTTAAAGTAAAACTTATGGTATGCCGCTGTTGGCATGGGTACAGTCTATTTATCATCTATGTGAACATCTATGTGGCCATGGACTAATGACAAAACATTTAAATATAATTTTTTTTTTAACTAAGCAATATCACCCTGTCTTTTTTCAATGTACTTTCCTCACTAGGAAAACACACAAAGTATAAGTGTAAGAGGGATCAAATTTATTCCAGGTCCTCCTGGAAATAAGGATCTTTGTTTTACTTGGCGTGAGTTTTCTGACTTTATTCGAGTTCAGCTAATTTCTGGACCTCCAGCTAAACTTCTCCTTATAGATTGGCCAGAACTAAAAGAGGTAAGCAACTTCATATATTGGAAAAAGTTTAATATTACATAGCTTGTTAATTTCAGATTGTCAGGGGTTAGTGGATCAGAATAGATATATCTTGTTGTTAAATAACAACTAATGTAAAAGTAACAATAACAAAAGAGCAAGGTAATGCAAGGCTTAATGTTTCCTTATTTAATTGATCACCATGTCTTAATTTGCTAATATAACAAATATAATAGTTCAGGTCTTAAAAACTGCATTACAGGAATTTGCAAACATGCAGAAAAATTAAAAATACCATAATGAACCTCAATATTCAGTTAACCCAGTTTTATTGGTTACTGATTTTTGCCAGTTACTAGTTTAAAAAATTGTAGTGGAGTGTTTAAAAAGCATATCCTAGACATAAGGTCATTATACCCATATATATTTTAGTATGCCAACCTATGAAAGTACTTAAATCTTAGAACAGTAATTTTACAAATATCTGCCCAATTTTACCTTTAAAGTTTTTTTATTGAATTTTAGAATTCTAATTTTATTTTTTAACATTTTTATTTATTTTTAATTGAGAATTGCCAATTATATACGTTTATTATGTATAATATGGCTTTTGAAATGTGTATTACATTGTTTATTGGCTAAATTTAGCTAATTATATATATGATCTCACATCTTGTGAGAACATTTAAAAATCTACTCTTTGCAATTTTCAAAAATACATTATTAACTAGTCACCATATTGTCCAATAGATCTCTTGAACTTAGACATCCTATCTGAAATTTTTGTGACCTTTAATAGAATAATTTTAAAATGTTCGAATTCTAGCACTCAGTTATGGTATAGCAGGCTTTAATTATTGATGTGACTTACACTTTTTTAAAAGAAAGTGAGCTCACTTACCCATAGTAGTAGGTAAAATGATTTTAGTAAAGAAGCAAGTTGTATAAGAAAATTTACATGCCTGTGCCCCACTTTGATGTTTCCCTTTTTGATTTGTGAATTTAAAAAACAGGAAAAAATTGGTTATGCTAGTGTACTTAAAAATTTTTTTTTTAATAGTGTGTTGAGCAAGGTATTTCACTGAAAAGCCAATGGGAGTGTATGTATTGTGTAAATTAAAGCATTTTTGTGGCTATTGTTACCAATCAGGAGCTTGTTAATATAGTTGACTATATTATAGTGCTTATCAGGTGGGAAAAATCTTACTAACATGTTTATCTTTTTGTATGATTTTGAAGGGGGAGACTGTAAAAATAATGACAGCTTGTTAATTTGTTACAAGATTTATTTGTAGATAGCATAATAATTCAGGAACTTTAAAATAAAACATAAAACGAATTTATTCATCTGTTAGTCATGTGTTTTGTATATCCATAAGACTGGAAAAATTATCACTTTGTATCTCATTTTCCTAATTTAATTCTTGACTCACCCTCTTCCCATAGAAAGTAAGTACAAAATGGAACTGACATAATAACCTAGTAAAATAATTTTTAAAATAAATATATAAGTATCTACATAAATTATTAGGAAACTCAAATTCTGAAATGTTAAATAACATGCCAGTTTGACAGAAGGCCTGGAGATGCAGCTCCTTTTTTTCACAAACATTTAATTTTGGAAACTGACTTTTTCTACTATTTCCCAGAAAATTTCATTTCTGCTGGCTTGGGCTATAGTTGTTTACTGTGCTAGATGTGGCACATACCTGTACTCAAGGAGGCTGAGTTAAGCGGATCAAAACTTTGGGGCCAGCCTGAGCAAGTCAGCAAGACCCTGTCTCTGAATAAAACTTTTTATTTTTATTTATTTATTTTTTTAATATTTTATTTTTTTGTTTTAGGTGGACACAATATCTTTATTTTATTTTTATGTGGTGCTAAGAATCAAACCCAGTGCCTCACGCATGCTAGGCAAGCACACTTCCACTTGAACCACATCCCCAGCCCCTGAATAAAACTTTTGAAAGGACTGGGGTTCAGTGTAAGAGCATTTGTCTAAGATTTATGAGGCCTTGGGTCTGATTCCTGGTACTGAAAAAAAAAAAAAAAGTCATTTACTGAAAGATATCCTTTAAAAGTAGTTAGGAATACTTTTAAAAGTTAGGATATCTTTTAAAAGAAGTTAAGATGGATAATTATTTGTGATAAGATTAAAGTACTTAGAAATTTATAGCACTTTCTAAAATTCAAGTTTTTTATATTTTTGGCAAATGAAATATACACTCAACTATAGCCTTGTAAACTTCATGGGAGATAAGCAATATACCTAAATTAGTCTCAAGGTTCTTGTTTGTTTTGTTTACACAGCATTAATTTTTCTCCCATTTCTAATAAACTTCTCACAGAGTGAGAAATGGAGAAAGCAGAAGAAACATAGATAGGAGAGAAATGATAAATTTCCTTTTTCACTCTTTCATTCTCTCCCATCTTCTTTTTGTAACTTTTAACTCTGAAACAAAGCCAGTCTCAATGGTACATGCTTGTAATTCCCACAGTTCAAGAAGCTGAGGCAAAAAGAACACAAGTTCTAGGTACCCTCAGCAACTTAGGGAGACTCAAAAAGAACTCGTGATGTAGCTCAGTGGTGGAGTACCCCTGGGCACAGTTCCCAGTAATACCAAAAAAGAATTAAAAAAAAAAAAAAAAAATCTGACACAGAATTGGACTCTTAGCAGTTACCTTGCTTAACAATATGTCCTTTGATATATCTAATATTAATAGATCAGCAGACAGAGTCCTAGAATTAAACAAGCCTTACATATTTTCTAGGGAGAAAACAAAAAGCATTTAAAACCAGCAAGACTGGGTAGATCATTTGTCCTCTTTAACCAAGGGTTAGAAAGCTATCCCACATAATACATAATGGCAGAGAGCTAAATATTTCCAGAGGAGCTAAACTACAGATTGCCAATGCTAAATCTGAGAATCAAAGATAAACTTGTTTCCACTGAATTCATTCTAGTATGTAACTTATAGCAAAGTACCTTAAAAGCCACTGATGTCAAATGCTGTTTTTCCTTTTATCAAATTGTCAATCATTTCTATAAGAGTGACATTTATGGTAATTTAGTTGGCTTTCAGGGCTTTATAAGTATGCAAGTAAGTACATTGGTTGGCATGTGTGTTTTAATGCTTCTAAATATTTATATTCATTTCAGCCCATTCCAGTGATTAATGGAAGAGAATTACAAAATCCTCTCACTGTTCAACTTTGTGATCAGTGGGATAATCCAGCACCAGTACCACACGTTAAAATAAATCTCATAAAAGCTAACAATTTAAAGGTAAGTTCTTCCCTAATTATTTTTCACTTAAACCTCTGTACTTCAGGGCTAGGGATGTAGCTGTCTCGTAGAGTGTTTGCCTAGCATGAGCAGCACCCTGGGTTTGATCCCCAGTGCCACACACAAAAAAAGAAATTGTACCTAAAGATTTAGTGGGTTTGATCCCCAGTGCCACACACAAAAAAAGAAATTGTACCTAAAGATTTAGTGTTACATTCTTTCTCTTTCTAAAATATAGTCTTAGGTGGGTGTGGTGGTATAGAACTGTAATCCTAGCTACTCGGGAGACAAGACAGAAGGATAACAAGTTAAAGGCCAACCTGGGCAACTAATAAGACCATGTCTCAGAATAAAATTCAAAAGTGAGGTATGTGGCTTAGTGGTAGAGCACTTTTCTGACATATGTAAGATCTTGGGTTCAGTCCCCAGTACGGCAAAATTACACACATGTGTAATTTTGTGTAGTGTGTGTGTGTGTGTGTGTGTGTGTGTGTGTGTGTAGTCTTTATTACTACTCAGTATAAATCAACTTGAAGAATGTTTATATTTATTTTGAGGAAGTAAAATTTACATATACAACTGGTGTAATGGGGCCAGTATTGTATGGGCAGTTTGAGTGTTCATATAGTACTAATAATGTTTGCACTTCAGATTAAGATAGATAATTTTAACAAAGTGAATGAAGACATACCATGAAGATCTACAGTGTGGGTTAAGGAGTAGGTATTATTGGGAAAACATGCTGAGTCTGAACAAAAGAGGCATGCAGATATCTGTCCTCTAATCCTATGGAGAACTACCAGAGCCAGGGCAGAGCTGCTAGACCTTATACTACATTGTTTTCTAGGGTGAAACAGCTCTCCTCTATTATTATTTTTATGTGGCAAGTGTGAATGTGGCCTACTAAGGTCTAGGGAGAAACACAGTGCTTGGGTCCAAAGAGTTCAGTGTTAGGTATCAGCTGCTTCCATAATGTTGGGACAGGCTGTTGCTCATCATCTAATGGAAACTAGGTTCCTGATGCAATGTTGGAAGCCCTCTTACTATGAAAAAGAAGAAAAACTACTGCTCCTTTTAAGATTTTATTTTTACACAGTACCTTTTTTTGATTGAAGGAAATTTGTTGGCCAAGTTGTTGCTAGGCAATCCACAGAAAGTTACTGGGATTATATTCAGACAGTCTGGAATATCCCTCCACAAATATTTATTTCTTTTTTTAGGGTGGGTGGGTGGGTACTAGGGATTGACTCAAGGGCATTTGACCACTACGCCACGTCCCAGCCTTTTTGTATTTTATTTAGGGACAGGGTCTCACTAGTTCAGCACCTTGCTTTTGCTGATGCTAGCTTTGAACTCAGGATTCTCTTGCCCCAATCTCCTGAGCTGCTGGGATTACAGGCGTGCACCACTGGGTTGGGCCACAAATATTTCATTAATGGAAGAAACATTGCCTCGAGGTGGCAGTGTTCTTGAAATCAGCTGGTTCAATTAGATTCCCAACAGAGATTTTCTAGGACTTCAGATTTGATCTTAAAAGTCAGTGGAGGAGATTAAAGTACCAAAAATGGCTTATGATACTTGGACCTATTTTTCTACTAAAATAATGAGAGTCAGGGTTCTTAAAACTGTCCAACAAACCTATGGGATTGCTATGTAACATGACATTTAAGATTTCTCTGACTTGGACTGGGGTTGTGGCTCAGTGGTAGAGTGCTCGCCTAGCCTGTGAGGCACTACGTTCGATCCTCAGCACCACATATAAATAAATAAAGATATTGTTTTGACCTACAACTACAAAAATAATTTTTCTAAAATATTATCAAAAGAAAAGAAAAAAAGATTCCTTTGACTTTGCAACAGGGATTTGGGATCCAGATGGGGAGAGGAAGAACTTTAAGATGTGTCAGAAGGCAATCGATCCAAGGGTAAATGGGATGAGTGTTAATATAAGACTTTAATCCTGTCTTTGATTCCATTTTTTAGTGAAATGTCAGTTTCTCCTTTTTTTTTCCCCTCTCTATCCATTGTTTTTTGTGTCAGCATGTAACACTATTCCATACTCTGTTCTCTTAAGCAGAAATGAGGTTTAGAGTTTAAGAGACACTTGATTTTCCACTACTACAGTCTACAAATCATTTTGTCCTGAACGTTTGCTTCCAAGAAAGTGAAATAGTGGTTATTTTCAACCTAAGAATAAGGGTATGATTCTAGTTTCTGGAATAGCATCCATAAAGGTTGAGACTCTTCAAACCTATTATTAGGAAATGTCGCCTCCAATTTTTAGTCACTTGAAAATGAAAGCTTTTTTATCACTATAAAGGGTAATATTGCAGTAAAATTTAAGACACACCTGAGTAAAATTGAACAGATGGTTTTATGATGCCTAGAATTGAATGTACGGGTATATTTATATCTCTATAGCCGTGCCCCACACCAGCCCAGTTTGAAATGCACCTTAAGTGTTTTAGTAACCATATCTATGATTTACACCAATATTTAGTGAACCTAGAATCCTGCAACTTTTAACATGAAATTCTAGTTTAATTGACCAAAATGGATGACTCTTCTCTTTTGGATTACGTGATTGCATAAGACATTATTTCAACTGGTGTCAGATGACAAATTTTTAGAAGTGTGTGTAAATATAACTTTTAAAATAGGAATAGATGAAAACCACATTGTAATAGAGGAACACACCTTGATTGATATATAGAATTTTTTATAATTAACTATTTTATTTTGTTTTGATTTTAGCTCATGCCTTCAAACCAGCAGCATAAAACAGATGAAAAGGGCAGGGCTAATTTGGGAGTGTTCATTGTTGTTGCCCCTAGGTAAGAACTCAAAGTTTGTTAGATATTGGTGTTATAGAGATTGATTTTTAAAAAAATATATAATTACTAATGCTTATTAATTGTAAAGGTTAAAAGGTTTTGCTGTGATATATTAATACATGTATATATTAAGGTTTGATCTTGTCTGTCTTCCCTTCTGTTACCCTCTTCTCTTTCCCCACTGCTCTCATCTTGTCCCCTTCCCCTCCTATAAGAGTCTCTTTTCTACTTCTAGATCATATTTTTTTTTCCCCCTCTTTTCCAGATCTGATAAAAAATATGTCTTTCCTTGTCTGGCTTATTTCACTTAACATGGTGTTCTCTAATTCTATCCATTTTCCTGCAGATGACATGACACTTAGTAGATGTCTGATAAGTCCATTTGATCTATAATTTAATTTTACTCTGATGTTTCAGTTGATGATTTTTGTCTTATCTGCTGGTGAGAGTAGGGTGGATGTTGAAGTCACTTACTATTATTGCATGAGGTCTTTATGTGCAGTATCATTCGTTTTATCAAATTGAATATGCCAGCATTTGGAAATATATATTTATATTATTATATCTTATTGATAAGATATATCATTATTATCAATATGTAGTGACCACCTTAGTCTCCTGGCCAGTTTTTGACTGAATTTTGTTTTATTGGATAAGAGTATAGCTACTCCTACTTACCCAAATTCTATTCCTCTATTATTCTATCATTCTATTCTATTATTCAATATTATTTTCCGTCCTTTGGGCACTTTTAGTCTGTGCCCATCTTTGCTGTTGAACAAATTGTTGAGTCCTGTTTTTTTTTTTTTCTTTTACTTCTTTGATTAATTTTTTACTAGTTGCTCAAAACATTACAATGATCTTGACATATCATACATTTGATTCAAATGGGGTACGTAATCTTAATCTTATTTTTCTACAGGTTGCAGGATCACATTGGTTATACAGCCATGTTTATACATAGGGCCATACTAGTGTCTATTGTATTGTGTTGCCCTTCTATCCCCTCCTCCCCTCCTCTCTTTCTACCCAATCTACTGTGACACGTTTCTCCCTCTCTCTCTTTTTTCTTCCCCCTCACACCATCTTATATGTAATTTTGCGTAACAATGAGGGTCTCCTACCATCTTCCGTGCAATTCCCCTTCTCTCTCCCATTCCCACGCACCTCTCGTCCCTATTTGATGGTAATCTTCTACTCATGCTCTTCCTCCCTGCTCTGTTTTGAGTTGTCCCCCCTTATATCAAAGAAGACATTCTGCATTTTTTTTTTTTTTAGGGATTGGCTAGCTTCACTTAGCATAATCTGCTCTAATACCATCCATTTCCCTGCAAATGCCGTGATTTTGTTGTTTTTTAGTGCTGAGTAATATTCCATTGTGTGTAAATGCCACATTTTTTTTTATCCATTCATATATTGAAGGGCATCTGGGTTGGTTCCACAGTCTAACTATTGTGAATTGTGCTGCTATGAACATTGATGTAGCTGTGTCCCTGTTGTATACTCTTTTTAGGTCTTTTGGGTATAGTCCGAGAAGGGGAATAGGTCACATGGTGGTTCCATTCCCAGCTTTCCAAGGAATCTCCATACTACTTTCCAAATTGGCTGAACCAATTTGCAGTCCCACCAGCAATGTACAAGTGTACCCTTTTCCCCACATCCTCGCCAGCACTTGTTGTTGTTTAACTTCATAATGGCTGCCATTCTTACTGGAATGAGATGGTATCTTAGAGTGGTTTTAATTTGCGTTTCTCTGATTGCTAGAGATGGTGAGCATTTTTTCGTGTATTTGTTGATTGATTGTATGTCCTCCTCTGAGAAGTGTCTGTTCAGATCCTTGGACTATTTGTTGATTGGGTTATTTGTTTTCTTGTTGTTTAATTTTTTGAGTTCTTTGTATACTCTGGAGATTAGAGCTCTATCTGAAGTGTGAGGGGTAAATATTTGTTCCTAGGATGTAGGCTCCCTATTTACCTCTCTTATTGTTTCTCTTGCTGAGAAAAAACTTTTTAGTTTGACTATGTCCCATTTGTTGATTCTTGATTTTAACTCTTGTGCTATAGGTGTCCTGTTAAGGATTTTGGAGCCCGACCCCACTAGATGGAGATTAGGGCCAACTTTTTCTTCTATTAGACGCAAAGTTTCTGGTTTGATTCCTAGTTCCTTGATCCATTTTGAGTTCACTTTTGTGCAAGGTGAGAAAAAGGGATTCAATTTCATTTTGTTGCATATGGATTTCCAGTTTTCCCAGCACCATTTGTTGAAGATGCTATCCTTTCTCCATTGCATGTTTTTGGCACTTTTGTCTAATATAAGGTAGTTGTAATTTTGTGGATTGTTCTCTGTGTCCTCTATTCTGTACCATTGGTCTACCTGCCTGTTTTGGTACCGGTACTATGCTGTTTTTGTTACTATTGCTCTGTACTATAGTTTAATATCTGGTATCGCTATACCACCAGTTTCACTCTTCCTGTTTAGAATTGCTTTTGCTATTCTGGGTCTTTTATTTTTCCAGATGAATTTCATGATTGCTTTTTCTATTTCTGCGAGGAATGCTGTTTGGATTTTGATTGGCATTGCATTAAACCTATAGAGTACTTTTGGTAATATGGTCGTTTTAATGATATTAGTTCTGCCAATCCATGAACAAGGTATATCTTTCCACCTTCTAAGGTCTTCTTCTATTTCTCTCTTTAGGGTTCTGTAGTTTTCGTTGTATAGTTCTTTCACCTCTCTTTTTAGGTTGATTCCCAAGTATTTTATTTTTTTTTTAAGATATTGTGAATGGGGTGGTTGTTCTCATTACCATTTCAGAGGATTTGTCACTGATATACAGGAATGCCTTTGATTTATGCGTGTTGATTTCATATCCTGCCACTTTGCTAAATTCATTTACTAGCTCTAGAAGTTTCTTGGGTTTGCTTTTTTGGGTCTGCTAGGTATAGGATCATGTCATCCGCAAACAGTGATAATTTAAGTTCTTCTTTTTCTATCTTTATGTCTTTAATTTCTTTTGTCTGTCTAATTGCTTTGGCCAGTGTTTTGAGAACTATGTTGAACAGAAGTGGAGAGAGAGGGCATCCCTGTCTTGTTCCATATTTTAGAGGAAATGCCTTCAATTTTTCTCCATTCAGAATGATGCTATCCTGAGGCTTAGCATAGATAGCTTTTACAATATTGAGGTATGTTCCTGTTATCCCTAGTTTTTCTAGTGTTTTGAACATAAAAGCATGCTGTACTTTGTCAAATGCTTTTTCTGCATCTATCGAGATGATCATATGGTTCTTATCTTTAAGTCTATTGATGTGGTGAATAACATTTATTGATTTCCGTATATTGAACCAGCCTTGCATCCCAGGGATGAATCCTAATTGATCATGATGCACGATCTTTTTGATATGTTTCTGTATCTGATTTGCCAGAATTTTATTGAGGATATTTGCATCTATGTTCATTAGAGATATTGGTCTGTAGTTTTCTTTCTTTGAAGTGTCTTTGTCTGGTTTAGGAATCAGGGTGATGTTGGCCTCGTAGAATGAATTTGGAAGTTCTCCCTCTTTTTCTATTTCCTGAAATAGCTTGAAAAGTATTGGTATTAGTTCTTCTTTAAAGGTTTTGTAAAACTCTGCTGTATACCCATCCAGTCCTGGGCTTTTCTTAGTTGGTAGTCTTTTGATGGCTTCTTGTATTTCCTCAATTGATCTTGGTCTGTTTAGATTGTGTATATTCTCCTGATTCAATCTGGGCAGATCATATGACTTAAGAAATTTATCGATGCCTTCACTATCTTCTATTTTATTGGAGTATAAGGATTCAAAATAATTTGTAATTATCTTCTATATTTCTGAAGTGTCTGTTGTGATATTGCCTTTTTCATCCCCTATGCTAGTAATTTGGGTTCTCTCTCTTCTTCTCTTCGTTAGCATGGCTAAGGGTCTGTCAATCTTATTTATTTTTTCAAAGAACCAACTTTTAGTTTTGTCAATTTTTTCAATTGTTTCTTTTGTTTCAATTTCATTGATTTCAGCTCTGATTTTAATTATTTCTTGCCTTCTACTACTTTTGCTCTTCTTTTTCTAGGGTTTTGAGATGAAGTGTGAGATCATTTATTTGTTGGTTTTTTTCTTTTTTTAAGGAATGAACGCCAAGCAATGAATTTTCCTGTTAGAACTGGTTTCATTGTGTCCCAGAGATTCCGATATGTTGTGTCTGTGTTTTCATTTATCTCTAAGAATTTTTTAATTTCCTCCTTGATGTCTTCTGTAACCCACTGATCATTCAGTAACATATTGTTCATTCTCCAAGTGATATAGGATTTTTCCTTCCTTTTTTTATAGTTGATTTCCAGTTTCATTCCATTATGATCAGATAGGAGGCATGGTATTATCTCTACTCCTTTATAATTTCTAAGTGTTGCCCTGTGACATAATATATGGTCTATTTTTGAGAAGGATCCATGTGCTGCTGAGAAAAAAGTGTAACCGCTTGATGTTGGCTGGTATATTCTATATATGTCAATTAAGTCTAGGTTATTAATTGTGTTATTGAGTTCTATAGTTTCTTTATTCAACTTTTGTTTGGAAGATCTGTCTAGTAGTGAGAGAGGTGTTTTGAAGTCTCCCATAATTATTGTATGGTGGTCTATTTGACTCTTGAACTTGAGAAGAGTTTGTTTGATGAACACAGCTGACCATTGTTTGGGGCATATATATTAATGATCGTCAAGTCTTGTTGGTGTATGGTTCCCTTGAGCAGTATGTAGTGTCCTTGTTTATCCCTTTTGATTAACTTTGGCTTGAAGTCTATTTTATTTGATATGAGTATGGACACTCCTGCTTGCTTCCGAGGTGCATATGAGTGATATGATTTTTCCCAACCTTTCACCTTCAGTCTGTGTATGTCTTTTCCTATCAAATGCGTCTCCTGTAGGCAGCATATCGTTGGATATTTTTTTTTTTTTTTGATCCATTCTGCTAGCCTTGTGTCTCTTGATTGGTGAG